CGTCTCAAATCAAGTCAAGCGAATCATTTCATATTGGCTGGAAAATGCTTTTGTTCAACCGAGTTATCAATTTTGAATCCAAATTTACTAAAATCAAACCTATTGATTTTTGTCAGAACTAGTAATGCACTATGTGCGTTGCACTTTAATAAATTTTATACACAAAAATTAATAAAAAAAAATTAGACATATGTATACATGAATTAAATATCATATTATCAAATTTATTTTTCTTTGCTCATATTTTATTATATAATTATAAAAATTTTGTATATTTTCAAGATTTGTTATTCTAATTATAAGAAAAATGATTGAAAAATAGTTATAGTTTTATTTTTTTAGAATTTTGTGTTTGAGAGTGGTTTTTAGTGATATTTAAAAAATAATTTGTTTTGACATTCATTTGATAATGATTCTCCTTATAATTTACTGAATAAAATAAACATAATTATCAATATACTATTCGTTTTTGAAACTTTACTGTAATTAAGAATTAGTCAGGTATACTCCAATAAAATTAAATATACTTGACTAATACATTACAATTTATGTTCACACAAAATCTTAATATAACTTGGAAAGCTTATTGTAACTGAAGAATTATATTGATGTAATATAAATTAATTTTAAAAAATTATATATATGAATATTTTTTATCCTAAAAATAAAAGGGTTAAACTTTTTTGGTAAAAATTGTGTGTGTGTACATGTGTAGACACAATGTTATATTTGTGTATATAATGAATAATGTTATATTGATAGAATTTTTAAAGGGTTTTTTAACACTTTATTAAAAAATTTAATGGTGCATATATTTTTTAAGGGTAAAAAAAAAATACTTTTTAAGGGTAATAAAGTCAATCAATTTTTTATTGAAATTGATACGTAAATATGGAGAATAGATCATTAAAAGAGATACTAGACGTAATTTAGAGATTTTAAATACATAAGGATATAATAAAAATTTAGATATTTAATTATGAAAGGATATAATAGTCTTTGTAATTTTTTATAAGGGTAAAATAATAAATTAAAAATTTTTCATGTTAATGTATTTTTATTAGTAATATATATATAGATAAATATAAATATTTATGTTACATCCTCTTCAATAGTTTAAATTTTTAGAGTAGATGGTTGTTGAACATAGTATCACAGTCGGGTTAATCTTGTGTTCAAATTTCGCAAGCGCCTTAATTATTAAAAATATTTTCGCATGCCAAGTTCAAAATTTAGCTTGATATTTAAGTTATATCTTTTTCAACAATTTAAATTTTTGGAGTAGATAATTGTTCAATAATTATATTATGGCTCTTAAGACCAGCTTTGTGTGTTTCCGCTGGACGATTTTAGATCTACTGTTGCTTGAGGTCCTCTAAACCAGACCAATGAGGGGAGAGGTGGAGTAGTACGAGGGACACTGTTCTGGCGGCTGCATTAGGGTGATGACACAAGTAGTTAGTTATGTCTATGTCCAAGGTTGATTGATACTGAGATAAAACAGCATAGAATAGAAGTGAAGTACTTTTTTAAGTGGGGAATCATTCGAGTTTGGTGGCATGTGGGTCCGGATCCTCCAATACAATTTCTTCCCTTCAATGTCTGATGTACATTGGTGCGGGTTTCTACCAATAAATAGAGATGTTATTTCTGGAGTTATGGTGGGCAGTTGCTGTCATGGGACAGAGGGTTTGGTGAATTTAATTATTCTTGAGGCAACAGAATAGAAGATGGAATCAACAACGTGGCTAATTCATGTCCACAAAAGCATATGATTAACGGTCCGGGAAAGTTGTTTTAGATGAAGAGTTATGGTGACTCTCATGGAATGGAATGGTGACAACCTCTCCTGTATTTGAATAATAATAGCCAATCCATTTCTTTTTGTGTGGGGTCCTCTAAATTATGGTTTGTCCCATTATCGTCACGCGTCAACTTTAATCTGGGTCCTGTGGCTTTCGAATGTGGTATTGCGATTCACTATCCTTACCAACTGAATGCACTCTATTTTTATTTTTATTTATGTTCAAGGATTGAATAACGTCTCGATAATGGAAAAAGTCCTAGTGATTTGGCCTTGTAGTGGAAAAATAATGGGTAATACCGGGACAAGAAGTTAGGTTTTCAACTGTGTGGTGTGGGACATGCACCAAGATGGTATTCAAATTCAAAAGTTACGTCGTTTTGTACCATTAAATCCAAAAACAGTTCTATCGTGAATAAAAATATCATTACTTTTAGTGGCCTGTTTTTGTATCTTTCTTTGCACACTTCCTGAATATTAACCCCCTCATTGGCTGCATTCATATGAGCCAACACTGAGGGCTTATGCTGCTTATAATAATTTTTGCACAGAGAAGAGAAATAAATACATGTAAGCTTCTATTTGTATTTTTGTATATAAGCTAAACTTTTCCAAACATTTTAAATATGAAAGTCAAATATGATCATTGGATTCAATGGTCAAAACATTATTTTTTTTTTTTTTTTTTTTTTTGGGGGGTGGGGAGGGGATGATTTGGCAGGCCTGCTGTGCCTAACTTTTTTGGGTTGAAAAGAGCCAACAAGTGCAGCCCATGTTTCTATGCAGTCGTTCTTGCTGTCACATGTCGGGCTAGGTTGGCCAATGGACTAATGGGATGTCGAGCTTTTGGATCAATCCATGGGCTACATACAAGCTTGCTGTTGAGGCTCATCTACAAATACTTGTGATCAGTGAAGTTCGGGTTTTATGCATTGATCCAAGGAATAATAGCTATTGGTGTTAATTCAATTCAAACAGGAACTATCATTGTTGATTTTTAGTCTCTTAGTAACCACACATAGACATAGTATTCATCGCTGACACAGATGATTGCAAAAATAGACATGTTTTTGTTTTGATTTTCTATTAGCCTGCCTGTATTCATCACTTAAAAGTTAAAACCATTATTTATGTTATTTCTTTGTGAAGAACAGTATGTATGCATGCATGCATGCAGCTTTGTTTTGGTAATAGGTTTGATGGTTAGAGGCTGAACGCCAAGGACTACTCGTGTCGAGTTCGACAGAAGATTCAAATGCATCACTGGTACACAACACATACTCCTTACGCTCTATGTTATATATGATCGACGCAGCTGCCTAATTCTATATTTACAAGGTGTGTTCTGAAATGCCTGAAAATTTTCTGTCTTCATAAATGCATACATTTGAATTCTCATACACAATTACAACTTACAAACAAAACTTCTAATAATATCGACGTGCAGAATGATGTGACAATTATATTTTTCTTAAATACTTTATACGACATTAATTTTTTGTTTGAGATTAAAAACGACACATAATCAGAATAAAAAAAATTTATCTATTTCATATTCATACCATGTGGAGCATTACATGTGGCTGTTGATGAAGAAGCTACGGTTAGGTCCAGTCTATGTCTAATGTTCCGTTTGATACGATAAAAAAATAGAATGATGTAAAGTTGGAAGGATGAAAAGTTTAAAGAATAAATAAAACATTATATTTGTTAAAAAGAAAAATATGAAGGATGAAAAAATGGATGGATGAGCTTTCTTTTAAATTCACTAAAATCAATCCCTCCAAAATTTGAAGAAAAGTGGATAAAAAATTAATTATTTGTGTTAAAATATATCTTATATGTCTATATATCATCTGATATATACATTAATTTCATATATAAATACAATGATAAAATATGTATTTATATTTTTTTTAAAAAAATTAAAAATAAACAAATATTTTTTCCATCTTACCAAGCACAAAAAAAAATTAATTATTTTTATTTTTCATCCATCCTACCAAACACAAAGGAATGAAAGTGTATAATTTCTATTTTCTTTCTTTAAAGAATAAAAAGTGTATCCCTCCTACTTTCTATATTTTTTACTTTTCATCTTTCCTACCAAATAGACATAAGAGTTGTAGTAGAGTCAAGCTTGTCAAACTTGAGTATGTACAAGTTTGGCTCAAGCTTCAATTATTATTCAAGCTTTGATTTGGCAGAAATTCACAAGCACTCAAGTCAAAGCTAAGCTCAATTACTCAACAAAAAATCTCCAATAATTAAGTCCTAAAGTTTAATAGTTAGGTTTAAATAATCAACTTTTTTTTAGAATTTCTCAGAATCTGTACTGAGATTAAGTAGTGGATATAATCTAGAAATATTTGAGATAAGTTTAAGATTGCTCATCTTGTGAATAATTTTTGTTTGGTTGTAAAATTAGAATTATTATAGATGGAATCCTATTAGAGTAAAGTTAAGCCACAAGTAGTCCCAATTCGTCTCATTTATGAAACCAGGTAGAATTGTATTGATTAGTGTTGGGTCGTGACGACTTGAATGATTGTAAACGAGTTGAGTTGGAGCTGCTTACATTGTTGTTTATTAATTATGCTCATAGAAACAAAAATCTTTGCAGCTAGAGACAAAAAATTCAACAATTTGTTTCAATGCAATTCTCGTGTGTGGTACTATGTATAGTGACTAATCTTAATTTCAAACGGTGGCCCGACTTTCTTCTCTCTTCATTGGTACGTACGTTATGTGGAACCCAGCATCTCTTCACCACGCTACACATCAGGCTATTTGCAAGTTTAGGCATGGACATGACTACTTTTACCTATGGCTATGGTGGCCAAGCCAATTATATATGTATATTGTTGAAAAGTAATAAGGTTATATATCTCATGCAAAGTTGATGGGTGGTGTATCCAACAACTTGTCAAACTTTTTAGCATATAAAGTATTCTGGCAAGTGGCAAGATCTCAATCTTATGAGAATAATTATAGGTAAAAAGAGCATATCAGATCACCCAAAACATGTTGTATTCGTAGACAATGGTGGGGAGATGGAAGACATCGTTATTAAGTAAGAATAATTTGGTTGACGAAGTCATATCATCATGAGAACTGCCCATTATTTATGTATAGAATATAACGTATATATCAATCCCATATTATTTGACTTTAAGAGCTGCTACAATATGGTATCTTAAAAGTACGGCTTTTATACCGACAAGTGGAACAAGGGGTCAGACGATGATGACGACGATGATCGAGCAAAACTCCACAGATCTATCTCGCTGCTATAGATTTGGGAGACTTGTTGTGGTCTATTGAGACGTGGGTGTGGTGATTGTACATAATGATCAAGAGTAATACAGAAGTCCTCGTTGGGGTCACCATAGAGGGACTGTTGCTTTGATGTCTCCACTTCACCATTGAGCTGTGAGGCCACCAGATGGTCAAGTGCCCAGTTACTCAACCCATCCTTAGGGTCATCAACCATGTCCATGTTGGAATCATTGCCCTGGATGGTGTAGGAGGGTTCAGTCTCTTCGAGCATATCGTCGACTGAATGCCCACAGGCGTTACTGCCATCCTGATTGAAGTGTGAGTTGTTGTAGGGAAGTGATGGAATGGTCGGACTCTCAAGTCGTGGAAGATGCAAAAATCTAGGGTTAACTCCATCGCTGATGGCTGTGTTGATTGGATTTGCAAAGTGATGAATGTTGTTGTCACTATTCATATTGCTGGCTGTTTCATGTGGCTGTGTGCAAGACTTTCCCATGTAATGAATGATACGATCGAGGACACAATCGTTGCTCGAGTTGTGCAGCTGCGTTCTTGAATCTCTAGAGATCATCGATGAGCTTTGGGGACTCTCTAAGGACCTGTGATAATTTTTCTTTCTGAAAACACGGCAAACGACCCAGCCATCTTCTTGCGTGGACTCTCCCAACAAATTAGAGGCCTAGATACATACCATTATCATCTATCAGCATCATAGTATAAGAACATCATGCAAAAAGTGGCACAGAAATGAAGATGGAAAATCAATAGCAGTCGGTAGTATAACAGGGAAGACAACTGAGAGCAGTCACTTAAGACGTGTGTATGTGTATGTGTTGTGTGTGTGTGTGTGTGGAGAGAGAGAGAGAGAGAGACTTTGAATATTATTCATTGAACTTCAAGAAGATGGCTTACAGTGGCGTCATGAGTGTTGTCGTCTAGCCTATACTCATGCATGATCCAATCGGACTTCTGTCCATGAGGGGCTCGTCCTTTGTAGAATACTAGAGTTTTCCTCATTCCGATTCTTCTATAGCTGCTGTAAATGACCTTATCTCGACCTGTGGCCTTCCAGAATCCGGCGGCAGTCGCGCGATTTGTTCGAGTCCCTGTCGGGTATTTCTTGTCTTTGTGACTGAAGAAATACCAATCATTTTGTGGCGTGGATCCTATTTTGCACTTTTCTACAAAACCCCATGACAAGAGAAGTAAGACTAGTCAAATCTAGTTTATATGCCAAGTTATACAACAAGTGTAAGGCTCTTTACCTTGAATATCCCATGGTTCGAGCTTGTTAAGATCGACATCGCGAATGACATTAAGATCTATCTTCTGATAAGCCACTTTCTTCCTCAAGTAGTAGTGCAGAAGCTCCTCTTCTGTTGGGTGGAATCTAAAGCCTGGAGGAACCTGAGACTGACCATTTACAGACAGATTCATGTCTTCTGACATGAGGTAGTGTAGATCAAATCAAGTATCAAACAAACTGCCCCCTTCCTGGTTCCCACTTCCCACTACTACTCAAATCTCTCCAACAAAAATAATTTTAGTTTTAATTCAATTTCAAGATGGATGAGAGCATGATGGAAATAAATTTGAGTGAGGATAACAAGACAAGCCAGAAGGGAGACGGAGGAGGTAGTATGAGTATAAAGGCTTAAGGCGGCATGATTATATATATGGGTGGTTGCACATGAAGGGTCCAACAATGCATGGAAAGTTTTGGTATCATGGCCATTAGTGTACTTTTGAGTGGGGTCTACGCTTCGAGAAGAACCAACCACCTAAAGCTTGTGTGAGAAACGACAGGGAAGAGTGTAGGTCCCACAATAGGTAGAAAACAGTGGGTCCCAATTATGGGGCCTTAGGATACCATAGTCTGAGCGGGAGGCACGCCTCCATCCAAAACTATGACCCTCGACCTTAAAATCTCAAAGAAAAGCACCCCTGAAACCACCGGTATCCTTATAGAATCTCTCTCTCTCTCTCTCTCTCTCTCTCATTCATTTTACTTGTGCAACCACCTCCAACGACAAGATGGCAAGAGAGAGATGATGGAGTCGGAGACATTGCGCTTTCATGGGGAGGAAAGGCCATGATGAGTGTAACAGAAGCTTATGGCGTCTGGACAAGACTTTTACCTCCTACTTCCATTCTTTTATCCATTAGTACTATTGTAGTATTTAGTAGCAACTAAAGCTAGCGCACAGCATATAAAACTTAGTATAAAACTTAGTTCTCTATGTATTAAAAATTATATCTCAAAACTGACTAGTGCTAAAAGTCACTTATATATTATATGGTTTGCTACAGGCAACCGCTGCTTAGTAACGTAGCTGAAGTCACTGACCAACCTCTATGCTATAACGGGGAATGTTAGTCTTATCTGTATTGATTGAAAATTAAGGAATCCGGAGAATTTGTTAGGTTTATTTTAGGATTGACAATTTCATAACTTATACTTTAGATTCAAAGTTAGAGGGTTCTACAGTTGAACCAATGTCGACCAGCTCACTATACTTGGTCATTGCAGAACATTGTTCTTCTGCTTGGGTGTCGAAATCTAAAAGTGCCTTGAAATTGTAAAAAACAGAAATTTCAACATATGATTCAAATAGTCAAATTAGTGTTCAACGAGACTGATTTAGGACCGATTTAAAAAAATCTAAATTTTTTGGACAAAACCTAAAACATTTTAGGATTGATCTCAGATTTTTGGAGCTAATGCTCCGTTTGATAGGAATGATGGAAAGTAGGAGGATACACTTTCTGTCTTTCAAAGATGAAAAATATGAATGATACATTTTCCTTCCTTTGTATTTGGTTTGATGGATGGAAAATAAAAATAATCAACTTTTTTTTTAATTTTTTTTCTCTAATATTAAGGGTGACAATCGAGTTGTGTTATGTCAGATTCGTGTTAAGTCATAAAATTATGAGTCTTTTATATTTTTTATTCGCATATCAGGTTATTTTTAAGTTCGTGTCAAGTTATAATCAAGTTCGTATCATAAAATTCGTGCCGAGTTCAAGTCGTGTCATCGTGTTAAGTCGAAAATTTTTAACCTTAGTTAAGATGAAAAAAATATTTTTTCTAATTTAAATTTTTTAGTTTATTATATATATATATATATATATATATATACATATTTTATCGTTGTATTGTTATATGAACTTAATGTATACATAATATATAAACAAATAAGATATATCTCAACACAAATAATTAACTTTTCATTCATTTTCCTTCCGATTTTGTAGGAATTGATTTTAGTAAGTTGGAAGAAAAGTTAATTTATCAATTTTTTTATCCTTCTTATTTTTCTTTCTTACCAAACATAACGTTTTATTTATCCCCAACTTTCGATCCTTCTAACCTTCTTCAATTTTTTCAACTGAATGGTAGATCATAACTGCAGTTTATGGGGTTGAATTTTTGTTCAATTGTTATTGGTACCACAGATGCCGCCTTTGTGTCTGTGTTACACGGCCTGTGTTGAGAGTTGTGTGTCTCCAAAGCCCAGAATTTTGTTTTCCTTCATTTACAATTAAGATATAAATTCTATTCATTAAGATATAAATTATCTATCGTTTATTGATTGAGTGACTTAATTATAAATAGTAGGCACAGCTTATATTAATTATAAATTATTGAGAAAAAAATATAATTTAATGCATGCAATTAGGATTAAGTAATATAATAAAGACTTAATTCAATACACTCATTATATTAATTATGAGTTCTCATGGTAAATGAAACTCTCTTTTAATCTAAAAGTTGTCATTGATTAGATCTCTAAATTAAATTCCAACACATTTAGCATCGCCAATAAATGCAACCAAAACTAAGTGCTCGGAAGTTTCCAATATGTTTTGGTTACTGAAATAGAAATAAAGCAGTACAGAACTACTTACGAGGATATGGATACGTATAGTATGTGGTCTGAAGAATTCTGTTTAATATGTTATGGTTTAATTTTGTTTAATAGTTTTGTTTCATATACTAATGTTGCTTTATTTTGGTTTAAAATAATCAGCATATGAATCTAACACAAAAACAATACATAATTAACGGGCTTATGTTTGATAAGCCTTAACGAGTTGAGATAGTAAATGGATAAATTCATTAGACACATAAATTGCATGAATTTGTGTGAATCTGATTAATCATGACACGAACCCCGCTAGATTATATATGAATTAAGTAAATTTTGACAAAACATTACAAAGCATCGGTCGCAGCTCCCCACTTTGTTCATTTTTCTTCGTGTGTCAAAAATAAATAATTGTCAAGTATATATTCATTTTCTTTCTTGGGAAATCGAATACGAGAACCTTAAATCCAACAAGAAAAGAATTGAAAGTGCTCTAAAATACAGCAAATAGGTTTTTTACATACATGATAAAATTCATGAGATTCAAAAATGGTCAAAATTGTTTTGGATAATAATTGGTGACATATTTTAAAAAGTTACTAGTTTCTTTCACTATAAATCCAAATAAATAACCAAAAAATAGCATATCTATTTAGTTTTTTAAATTCGTGAATATATACATGATGTGTCGAATTACGTATATATTTATGTTTTTTTTTTATTCTCTTTCCTATCTTCAACTTGGTATCTCCCAATAATTGGGTTGTCAAATTAATTCCAACGCCTTAATTTCTAATGTGATTGCTATGGCAGGTTGACCCTTTTTAACTCGTGCAGGCACTACCAACAAACATTGCTTACGTGGCCAATACCTCATACATTATTACGCGACCAAAATATTTAACAAATGACTAATGCTATATAAACTTAAAAAATAAATTTAAAAATTAGATTCGATAATCTCAATCATTGATTTTACTGTGGGTCCCAGCATTTATTGGGACTCACTACCTATTCAATGATTGAGATTATCAAATCTATTTTTTAAATTCACGTACCATTACTCCTAACAAATATACTTTGGCCACTTGCCCAAGTGCCACCATGTTAGTGCTGATTATTGCGCTCTCTCTCTCTCTCTCTTGTGTAAAAACATCACTATATCTATTCCGTTATGAGGTCAGTCACTCTGTCTCAACTCTAATCATGATCGTTATTCTTCAAAATTCCATTCCCAATCATGATATTAGCGAGAAATTGACGAAGCAACCACTTCTCTCACTAACCAGCACTGAATACCTCATCTCCAAATCACTTTACTTGTTTATTCACCCACCTCTATTGACAATACCCATATACATAAATTCATTATTGTTATCAAAATGACGTGTTGTGACGACATAGTTATGTATGAGAGAGAGACAAGAGACGAAATATTTTCAAAAAACGACAACTAATGTGTTGGGATACAAGTTTGTATGACAAGCAATCTCCCGAGGCGAAGCTATATTGTCAAACTGAAGTACTGTCCTGACCTAATATTTTGACTACTCACTTAATATGCCCCCATAGATACTCCGCTCCATGCCACTACGTACATATTATTCAACGATTATCACGTACATATTATTCGACGATTACTGTTAATTAGAACTAACTACTTACATAAGCTTCTGACTTAATTAATCAAAATTATTGCATTGATAATGAGTATTGATATTTGTTGGGACCCAAAACTAATTAAATAATTATGATGAACTATATCGGCAAATTAAGTCTGAATAACATTATTGTTATTTAGTGTCTATGTGGTGTAATATTTTTCTGTTCGCAAGCTGTTTCCTTGTGTCTGTTGTTTTTGACAGAAATTGCAAAGTTAGCCAATAAACCATACTTTAATCAATGACGTTTTATTCTTTCTCTGTACGCTTTGTCCTTTACTGAAGGCATGTTACATCCACGATGAACCATCACTGCATCTTTTTTTAGGTAAATAAACCAATTGTATTGGAATCTCCATGAGATACGACATTCATTTATATGGAAAAACATTTGTCTGTCTAAAGTGCTGCAAGACAAGTAGAGCAAATAGCTACAAAATCAGAGGACATAGGGAAAAGATGCTGGCTTAAATGACATGTATTCCCTCGCATATGTACGAGTCTCGCTTCAGATAGGAAAAAGAGTGAAAGGGTCTTGATATACTACTGCCTGTTGGTTTTTTGTGGAGTCTAATTTGTATATGTGATCCAGATGATAACTCGACTCGAAGTAATGTTTGTGTGATTTTTTAATAAAAAATTTTCTAAGGCTTAGTCCATGGAACGAAGGCTTGGGCCGATATGCCCAAGCTGTAGCGTTTATGGACAAGCTTCGTGGAGGTTCGGGAGCAACGCCTCCGAGGAAAATTTTTGAGCCCGTTATATAGTCAAGTGCGTAGGACATATAAAACCCGTTATTTTGGTGATTATGGTTTATATGGTAGATTGTACAGCCACTCTCTGTATTCAATTCTCTCAATAGTGAAATCCCTGCAGTTTCGTGGACTTAGGCAAATTGTCGAACCACGTAAAATCT